TTAAGTAAAGAATCTAAGGAGTAATAAGATTAAACTATGAGATTGTGCTCGCCAGAAGTCAATGTCTCTAATTTCACCATATGAGGATGGTCATTTGAAGAGTCCTTTAAAGATATTTTGTTAATGGTTGTAGGTTTGGGAAGTGAAAGCACAAACTGAGAACACTTTCTAATTTTGAGTTCTTTTAAAGAAGGAAGGTGGCTGGGTAGAGTTATCTTTAATTAACAACCTTTACTTATGCAAAGCACTAGAAGGCGAGGAAAAGCTTTCTATTCACTTTCAATAACATTATGAATCCATTAACACCATTCTAGCATCCTCTCAAAAGTCAAGCTCTCGAGTTATCTGAATGCAATGCTTGTAGAAGTGCAATTTCCATAAAACGCACAACCTACACTCTCAACTTTGTCGAATGCTTTGATCATAAGTCTTTTTACATATGCTAAATGACCGAGTGGTGGTACGAATTAACACTGACATTCACTAAGTCATAGTTCCAGTAAGAAGAACACTTTCTAATTTTGAGTTATTTTAAAGAAGGAAGGTGGTCGGATAGAGTTATCTTTAATTAACAACCTTTACTTATGCAAAGCACTTGGAGGCGAGGAAAAGCTTTCTATTCACTTTCAGCAACATTATGAATCCATTAACACCATTCTGGCATCCTCTCAAAAGTCAAGCTCTCGAGTGATTTGAATGAGATGTTTATAGAAGTGCAATTTCCATAAAACTCACAACCTACATCCTCGACTTTGTCGAATGCTTTGCTCATAAGTCTTTTTAGATATGCTAAATGACCGAGTGGTGGTAGGAAGGAACAATGGCATTCACTAAGCTTCAGATCCATTAAGAATGATTCTATTAACCAAGAAGGGAATCTTAAATCCCCATAACCAACTATTACAAGAAAATACAGATTTACATTAGGCTTTAGTTAATTAAGTACAGATTTATCAAAAAAACCATATGAATCATTGCTCCATCTCATATCTAATTTTCTAAGATCCTTCATGCCTTCCAAATTAGCTGCTAATGAGTCTTGAGCGTCGAAAACATTTTGAAGCATCCAGGTACGAAGTTTTCCCTCTAGATATTGAGCTCTCATATCTCCTTCATGCTATTATTAAATGTACAATTTTCGTTTATATATATATAATTAAATAAAAATTATATGATTAAAAAATAAAATTAAAACAAAATTATAGATAGTTGTTTGAAATCAAGTCTCATAAGAAATTAAATTTAATTTTATATGTGTTTGAATTCAATTAATAAAAAATTAAAATTTTAAGAATTATAGACACAAGAATATTAATATGATCAAATCAAAACTATAAAAAAAATATGATCAAAACAGAATTTTTTGTAATCCAAATATTCAAGTTTGGTCCATCGTTAATTTTGAAATATTTATAGAGTGTGTGTATATAAAGAAATAGACAAAAAATAGTAGTAAACTTGACAATATAATTATAAAATTAAGAAAAATTGAAATTGAAAAGGAAGTAAAATAGAGAAATAAAATTTAAATGTTTCTAGAAATAGATGAAAAAATAAAAATAGATAAGTATGAAAAAAATAAAATCTAAGAAAAACTGTGTTGTTATTAAGTTGTTTAATGTTTTAGTCTAAAAGAAAATATATACCCCACCAGAAGTAAGTAGTTTCTTAAAAGATAATTTTATTTTGTACTGTTTTTGTATTTTCTTTTGTTTTTCATATTATCAAATTAAGATTTTAATATTTTCAATCTTGTTTTTAAGAATATAAATTTTATTTTAATTTTTTTTATCCTTTAACCTATTTATCATTTTCTTTAGCTTTTCATTGTTTCTTCAATTATAACTTTATATCACCGGGCTCTATTCGTCCAAGACCGATTTCGAAGGAGAGTTTACATGAATAAATTATTATTTTTTAATTAAAATTATGTTATTTTAAAGAAAATTTAAAAAAATCATTGAATTTTTAACTAGGTTAGTTGGTTCATGAATGAAATCAAGTTTTAAACGGAAGAACCAAGTTGGCTAGATATGGATTAACCCATCGGGCTGGGTTGGATTTTTCAACTTTGGGGTGGATTTCGAGTATAAGGGTTGAATTAAGAAACTTTTCTGTTTAGGGACCAATCGCATAAAAAAATTCAACTCATAAGCCTTGTCTTTAACTCAAAGTTATCTCTTCTTGCAGCCTCACTCTCTTCCTCTCTCTCTGAAGCCCCTCGCTCGCCTCAGCTTTCGAAGTCGATTGTAGTTTAATTCTCTCAAAGCTTTATAGGAATGCTGCAGGTGAGAGTTAATTATGAGTTGACTTCTTTTTTATGTATATTTATTTATGGAAAACCTCAGTTTAATTTGTTAATGGTTTCTATGGGATTCTTGGTCTCTTTTTTCCCTGTAATTTTCAGGGAATCACTATGTCTTGATTATCTGGATTTCGATCTGTAGCAAAATATGATTTTTTTTTTGCTCGGATAGAAATTAGTGTTGAAAGTTGATGTCCATGATCAGAAAACCATGACCAAGATCATTAAGACAACTTCTAATCTGGCAGGTATTAGAATCTTCTATTCTATGCTTATTTTGATTTTAAAAAAGAAAACTTGTATGTGCATTAAGTGGTTTGATAATAAAAAAAATTGGATGATCCATCAATGAAGAAAGATTTGACAAATTAAATGGGATTTTGATTCTTGCAACTGAAGGGCAAGAAATCAGTAGAAAAAGGGACTCGATCAGACACAGATGACAGATGTTTGTCAGACCCTGAAATCTTTGGTGAAGATATTTTGCCAAATTCCTCGAGAAGTTGATCTTGTTGAGTCTGAGATTGAAGGCAATTTTTAGATTTCAATTTTAGGGTGTTTAGCAGAATCATTCTTGAAGAATAAACAAAAGATGATGAAGTGGAAGATAATAGAAACATTAATCAAGATGATGGTGAATTTAACTGGGAGATTAGTAAGAAGCAACAGACAATTAGGTGAAACAAGGTTTCTTTGATTGTGTTGTTGAACTTGTTGTTCCGTGTGGTGTGAAGTTGTTGGGGGACAGTAATGGCTTGTTTGAGCAACTATTTTGTCTGTTTTCAATTTGTTAGTAAGTATTTGCAGAAATTGAGCCCACACATGAGCCACTTTGGAGAAGAATTGTGGTATTTTGTACTGTGGAAGATGGATTGTACTGCTATGTTTTGTGAGAACCAATTAATTTGTTTTAAAAATGTGCAATTGCATGAATTGAGTAAACGGTTCCGGGACATCTTCATAATGGGGTGGTGTTGCTTGCATACGAGGAGGAGTTCAACAAAGTAGAGGATATCTTTTTTGACATCTATAATAGCAGATGGTTTATCAATACTGGTCTTTGTGAGAGTTTGTTGGGCAAGAAAGACAGCAAATGACTTCAAGTTCTTGTTTTCAAATGGCAAGTAATGCTCATAATATTGTGGTGAATTTTATGATGATATCTGGGGGCCTGAGCTGTTGTTTGCCCACTTGAATTGGTGTGACTGAGTGGATTGAAGTGGCTTTTGAGTTGTTGAATTGCAAGGTGACTGAGTGGATCCTTACGGAGTATTCTTGGTGTCTGAGCAAATTTGTGCTAGTCCAACTGATTGATTAATCCTACAAGAGCTAAGTGATTGGTGTGAGTTGTTGTCATATGTTCTGATATTAAAGAAAGCTGCATAGAAACTAGGAAAGTTATGGCAGCTTTATGTTACATGTTAAACAGCACCAGTCATCACCTTTGTCAATCACGGAGATTAAACACTGTATAGTATATTGGAAATCAAAATACTGCCAAGCAGAATCAGACATGGAAATATAGACTCTGCTTCTGCGTTAAGTTCTTGTTACATACCCTTTTGTAGGTTAAGTCTTAGTAATGACTGTTGTTACGTGAAGGGATGTATTAATATCCGTGGTTTGTTTAGGCTTTTATAGGATACCAATTGGACAAATAGCTCACTAGTGAATGTTCAACACCAATTTTGTTCCTCGATTTCTCTTACTGACTTGCCACAAAAAAAAGATTTCTCTTACTGTGTTTCCCTCCCTGCCTCCCTCTCACATCCTTTCCCCTTCTTCTCAACCTTTGTCTGCCTTCTCTTGTGTTCTCTTTCTCTCTCTCCTTTTTCTTTCTTCTTCCCCTCTCCTTTCTCATCATATCTTTATTACCTTCCACTTTCTGATTTTCTTCCCCATGTCATTCTTGCTTACCAAATACAACAAACAAACCCATTAATTCAATGACCATAACATCTAGCTTGGTTTTCCTGCAATCCAATCCAAAGCTCTACCTAGGTGAATCTGGCATTTCGTCGTTTAGGTTAAATAAAGCTGCTCTGTGGTTTTGAAGGTATCTGTTGCCATTTGGGGGATTACATGATGATGGATTGATTTTGAGGAATGGTGACTTTGGGTTTATGGAGTGTGCATGTTGTTTAGGGTATGTGGTGGTGGTTTGTTCTGTTTGGGTGGTTGATGCTCTCCTAGTGTGGATCTAGAGGGTTTTGGAATTTGTGTTTGTGGTTGGTTTCGGGGTGTCCCTTGAGGATTGTATGCTGTCCAGGTGGTGTTTGGTGATTTAAGGTTTGGTTATCCAGACACCAGTGCCTAGTTGAGTGGCAAGATTTCCATGGCAAACGGGTCTCTTGCTCTTTGGAGACCCACCTGCCACCTGTGGTTATTTGATTTCATGTTTTCCAGATGGTAATTGGCAGTGTTAAGCCTCCCTGCTCAGTGCCGCGGTGGAATTTGATTGGCCTTGCAGTAGCTCTATATTTTCAATTGGCCTGGCCCATTTGCACTTTTCTCTTCACCCTGGTGCATCTTTAGCTTATGGTGGAATTCTGCAAATAGTGGCTTCGGCTCATTATATTTTTCTTTTTTCCCATTCTGAAAACAAGTTTGTAGTTCAAATTTTGACAGAACTGGGTGTTGTATTTGCAAATTTGCAGGGGTGGATTCAATATCCGTTGACAGGAAGGCAAATAAAATGACGGTGATAGCGGACGGAATTGATCCAGTGGTCATAGTGTGCCGATTGATAAAGTTCTTTTCCGCAGAAATAATTACAGTAGGACCAGCAAAAGAGCCTGAAAAGAAAATAGAACCCAAGAAAGAAGAGCAGAAGCAGCAAGAAGAAGGTCAGATGAGTAAAGATGAAGATCAAGTTAAAAAAGATGAAAATGCTTTTGCTGAGTTGAACATGTCTAACCAGGCCATTATTGATCCCTATTTAGCTCTAACAGTTCCTGAGGAGGATCGAAATGCTTGTGTCCTTATGTAATCTGGCAGATGTCAAAAGTGCTGGTAGAAGTCTGAAGGACAGAAGTTGACATTGAATTTATATCATATTATTAATGGATTCTCTCCCTCATGTAAAATATATATAAATATTTTTCATTAACGTATAATTGTTGTGGTTTTGATCTTCCTGCACCTTTTATTGTTTTGAATGTGGGATGTCCTGTCCAGTTTGTGGTTGGCATTTCTTTTGACAGAGAGGAAGAATGGCAATGGTAACTTGTTCTCAAAATTAGAGCTATGGGTGATAGTAGTACTTTCAATTCCATGTAACAAAAAATTCTGGGATGGATTAGGTCATCTGTGATTTACAATAATTTTAGCTTTAAAATATGTGTGGTAGGAAAAAGAGAGGGATTTAACTGGATCGAAAATGGATAGATGAGAAAAAATTAAAAATTCTTCTGACTTCAGGATAAAGAATAAAGGGTTTGATCAATTTGTATGTATAGTTGATGAAATTGTTTTTTATTTTTATTTGAAAATATATTAAAATATTTTTAAATTTTTTTAAAAAATTAATATATCAAGATAATTAAAAAATAATAATCTGAAACTTTTAATAATAAAAAATCGAAAAAATGTTAAATCCACACAAACAAACAGTATAAATCCAGCCCGGTAAATTTGCAAATACAAGGACACTCAGTTCTGTTTAAGAAGAGATCAATGGGTTCTTGCAAAACAAGTCAAATCATAATTAGCGCTCTCCTTCTTATCCACAGAGCTTTGAGAGATTTAAACTACAGCCACCTTGGAAAGCTAACTGGGTAGGGGGGAGAGGCAGAGGCAGAGGGGAAGAATTATTATTTCTCCTTTTTCCAATTTGCAGCCGCTTGCGTCTGAGCAGCGGCGGCGTGTGGATGACGGTGGTACATGTATTTGGGGCGTGTCCCGCCTTTTCCTTTTTCCGATTAGTTTACTGGTTTCTTCTGATTCCAAGCTTGGAATTTGGGCTTTCATAGACCCGGGTCCATTAGTTGATCAAGATGTTTTTATTTTTTAATTTACATAACTCGTCTATGTCTAGTTTATTTTAAAAAAAATAGTAAATTATAAATTAGTTCTTCAAGTTTGAGAAATAAATTATTTATTTTTTAATTTCAAAAAATTAATTGTTGAGTGACTAGATCATTGTCGAGAACCCTTAATTTCCCTTAATTTTTCATTACTTTATCCTAAGAAATAATTTCTTTACTCATCAATCTTTTTCTAATATCCATTTTTTTAAAATAAAAAAATTGGAAAAGAACATAAAATGAAGGAAAAGGACTACATAGTTAGTTTTTTGAAATAAAAAAATACTAACTAATCTATTTCTCAAAAATAAAGAAAATAATTTATAATTTAATCTTTACAAAAATAAATAAAATCATCATTTGTTTTTTTCTGTAGCAAAGATACCATCGAATGACTAAATGTTAGTATTTTTTTTTCTGATTAAGGAAAATTTATAAGTAGAAACTTAATCTAGGTTTCCAGCAACTTTACAAAATCAAATAGAGAGTGGATATCATCCAATGTTAACCTTTAAAAAAGATATATATTATCCCAAGCAATGCCACACGAAAGAGGTGATGGAAAAAATTGAAGGAAAAATAAAGAGCTTAAATATTAAAGCAAAATAAAGGAATGTTTGAAAATAAATATTGTAAAAGAAAGCAAATAAAAAGCTACAAGATAGCTTGAATAAATTACATTAAAAAATCTATGGGGGCTGGTCATCAATCACAATAGCTAGATGATTCTATTTAATTATATCTATATAATATAAAGAGATAATATTGACTAGATATTGTTTTATATGGTTAATCATCGTTCATAATCAATTTGAAACGACATTTATTTTGTCTTTAGAATACCATTAACTGATCTAAGTCAACTGCTTCAAATCTTCATCTTCTATATTAAAAAACAAAAAAAAAAATTACCTAAATTCTCTTCAAACTCAGATTTTCCAGCACAAGAAAAGAAATAGGAACCCTAAACCCCTTTCTTCTTGCAAAGACATTAAGGAGCAAGTACACGCCTTTCTTAGCTAGGAGACTGAAGGGGGAATTTAAGCTTGTTAATTAATTGTTACGCTTTCTTCTTGCAAAGACATTAAGGAGTACACGCCTTTCGTAGCTAGGAGACTGAAGAGGGAATTTAAGCTTGTTAATTAATTGTTATTAAATATCAATGCAACCAGTGGATAAAAACGAACTTATTTTCTGGGCTTGAACTCTGCTGAAATATGAAGTGATGATCATTTACATTCCCATAGGAACAAAAAGAAAACACAAACAAAATTAATGGATTCAAAGAAAACTCAAAATCTTAATCATTTATGTGCTTAGTAAGGTTGTGCCTTGAATTCCTGGGCTTGGTGCTCTTCTTTTCGTTGTCACAAAGAATATGTTATCTGAAACAAGATGTGAATTGTTTCTTTGAATCCCTCAAGATTGTTATTTTGACTGTAAATAGTTGAATAAGTATTCTCTTTCACAAGCATCGTGGTAGAACTCTTGACATGATGAGAATATGTGTTTTTGAACAAGAAGCACACAGACTAAGAGGCCAGATACTGTACATCAAGTATTCAAGACTGCCCAGTCTCCATGAACAATATTTTCTCTATCACATAGAGTCAATGCCGGCCTCAATATTCTAGTCTCTAAAGGTTGGTGAGTGATTTGATCATTGGAAATTTAAAATGTTTTCAGCGCTTGCAAGATGAGACCGTTTACTTGAAACATTTATAATGGCTAAGATAATATTATTTGGAAAGAAAAGATACATATTAGTTATTATTTCCATTATATTATGAAGGAAGAAAACAATAAATTAGACATCATATTCTTCCAAAAGGGTAAGCATATCAATTGTCAACAGTGTTTTCTTCCAAATGTACCCACACTACATCATGATAGGAAAGGAAAAAGAATGTTGGAAACTGCCAAAGACAAATCACTAGACAATTTACTAAATTCTTAAGATACGCTTTGAAAAATAAATGTCAGAAAGCACAGCCACCAACCCGCACAAGGATGTAATTACGACAACACGGTCAAAGGCTTTACTTTCCACGGCGAGAAAAGAATAGTCTCCATGAAAAAAAAACACCAATGGGAGGAACCATCTTATCGACTTTGAAATTTGGACCCTGTTCGATGTCATGGCTGACGTTCGAAAACGTCTTCAAGTGGTTTTGAAAATGGAAAATCATTGACATTAATTTTCTGGAACTAATTAAACCTTAGTTAACTTGACTTAAAGCCAATGTGGGGTCAAGTGTTTGTTGATGAATCCGAAGAAGGTACAAATAGAGTCTGAATGCATCTCAAGGATCCTGTCCGTTCCTTTCATATAATGTTGTTTCATCCACAGAGCATCACAACAAGCCCTTTCATCTCAACTTGAATCTCTGGGACCCCATTGAAACTGAAGCTTTCAAGCATGAGTTCATGCATTTTGTGGTTTCTTTTCTTGCAAGTAATTCACCACTCTTTCTCCATCTCATTAGCTAGAGGAGAAAGCGAGATAGACAAGCTTTCGCTACTAGCTTTTAAGGCTCAAATCTCAGACCCCCCTGAAAAACTAAGCTCGTGGAATGAATCCTTGCCCTTCTGCCAGTGGTCAGGAGTAACATGTGGAAGACGGCATCAAAGAGTCATAGAGCTTGACCTCCACTCCAGCCAACTGGTGGGCAGCCTATCTCCCCACATTGGGAACTTGAGTTTTCTTAGGCTGCTAAGATTGGAAAACAACAGTTTCACCAATACTATCCCCCAAGAAATAGATCGTTTGGTTCGGCTACAGACACTGATTCTCGGGAACAACTCGTTCACCGGTGAAATCCCGGCTAACATTTCTCATTGCTCGAACCTCCTGAGCCTTAATTTAGAGGGAAACAATCTTACTGGCAACCTTCCTGCAGGACTTGGATCGTTATCAAAGCTGCAGGTATTTAGTTTTAGAAAAAATAATCTAGGTGGCAAGATACCCCCCTCTTTCGAAAATCTTTCATCTATCATTGAAATTGATGGAACACTTAATAATTTACAAGGGGATATTCCCAGTGGTATTGGGAAACTGAAAACATTAAGCTTCTTTTCACTGGGCTCAAATAATCTGAGTGGTACAATCCCTCTCTCCCTATACAATATTTCCTCTCTTTTTCGTTTATCTTTGGCTCATAACCAATTTCATGGTACACTTTCTCCAAACATGGGCCTAACTCTTCCAAATCTCCAATATCTTGGCATCCACGACAATCGATTAAGCGGGCTAATTCCAGCAACGCTCATAAATGCCACAAAATTTACTGGTATTTATCTTTCATACAATGAATTCACCGGAAAAGTTCCCACTTTAGCCAGCATGCCTAACCTAAGGGTTCTTTCAATGCAAGCAATTGGGCTTGGAAATGGTGAGGATGATGATTTGTCCTTTCTCTACACCCTCTCAAACAGCAGCAAGTTGGAAGCTTTGGCTATAAATGAGAACAATTTTGGAGGGGTGCTGCCTGATATAATTAGCAACTTCTCAACAAAGCTCAAGCAGATGACATTCGGAAGCAATCAAATCCGAGGAAGCATTCCCGATGGCATTGGAAATCTCGTAAGCTTGGATACTTTGGGTTTAGAGGCAAATCAATTGACTGGCAGTATACCAAGTTCTATTGGTAAATTACGAAATTTAGCTGATTTCTTTCTTAATGAAAACAAATTATCTGGGAGCATCCCTTCTTCTTTAGGGAACATCACCTCGTTGATGCAAATTAATTTTGATCAAAATAATCTACAAGGAAGCATCCCTCCAAGCCTTGGAAACTGCCAGAACTTGTTGGTCTTGGCTCTCTCCCAAAACAATCTCAGTGGTCCCATACCAAAAGAGGTCCTTAGCATTTCATCCTTGTCAATGTATTTGGTGCTGTCGGAAAATCAGTTGACTGGTTCCCTTCCCTTTGAAGTGGGCAAGCTAGTGACTCTTGGATACATGGACATCTCCAAAAACAGGCTATCAGGGGAAATTCCCGCAAGTCTTGGCAGTTGCGAGAGTTTGGAACATTTGTATTTGGATGGAAACTTCTTACAGGGCCCCATTTCTGAGTCTTTGAGATCTTTGAGGGCACTTCAAGATCTTAATCTCTCTCACAACAACTTGTCTGGCCAAATTCCCAAGTTTTTGGGAGATCTGAAGTTGCAGAGTTTGGACCTGTCATTTAATGACCTTGAAGGTGAGGTGCCCATGAACGGTGTTTTTGAGAACACAAGTGCGATTTCAATTTCAGGGAACAAGAATCTTTGTGGAGGAATTCTTCAGTTGAACCTGCCCAAATGCAGATCCAAGTCAACAAAGCCAAAATCTTCTACCAAGCTGGTATTGATAGTCGCAATTCCTTGTGGCTTTATTGGATTAATCTTGATCACATCTTTTTTATATTTTTTCTGCTTGAAAAAATCATTGAGAAAAACAAAAAATGATTTGGCACGTGAAATCCCATTCCAAGGAGTAGCCTACAAAGACCTCCGTCAAGCAACTAATGGATTCTCTTCTGAAAATTTTATTGGTGCTGGCAGTTTTGGGTCTGTGTATAAAGGAGTACTAGCCTCTGATGGAGTGATTGTTGCTGTGAAAGTATTCAACTTGCTGCGCGAAGGAGCTTCCAAAAGCTTCATGAGAGAATGTGCAGCCTTGACAAACATTAGGCACCGAAATCTTGTCAAAGTATTATGTGCATGTGCTGGCGTTGACGTTCAAGGTAAAGATTTCAAAGCTCTTGTTTATGAGTTCATGATCAATGGAAGTCTAGAAGAATGGTTGCATCCAAACCAAACATTGTATCAGGAAGTGCATGAGCCAAGAAATCTTAATCTCATTCAGAGGTTAAACATTGCAATTGATGTGGCTAATGCGCTCGACTATTTGCACAACCATTGCAAAACGCCTATTGCTCATTGTGATCTTAAGCCTAGTAATGTTCTTCTCGATGGAGATATGACTGCTCATGTTGGGGACTTTGGATTGTTAAAGTTCCTTTCTGAAGCATCCTGTCAGACAAGCTCTGTTGGATTAAAAGGCACCGTTGGCTACGCAGCTCCAGGTAACACACAGCACTAGAAGGATATGTATTCCATTATTTACTATTTTTCTCTTGACATTCACCTGAAAGGTCATGAACAACCCTGATTAATTAACCATGCAAACAAATGGACTGCAGAGTATGGCATCGGAAGCGAGGTGTCAACTTTGGGGGATGTGTACAGCTATGGCATCCTACTGCTGGAGATGATTACTGGAAAGAGACCTACAGATAGCATGTTTAAAGATGGAATAGAACTTCACAATTATGTTAAAATGGCATTACCTGACCGTGTAGTTGATGTTGCGGATCCGAAACTTGTGATAGAAGTTGATCAGGGAAAAGACGCTCATCAAATCCTGGAGTGTTTGATATCAATTACCAAGGTAGGAGTGTTTTGTTCAGAAAAGTTTCCAGGAGAGAGAATGGGCATCAGCAATGCTGTAGCTGTATTGAATCGAACCAAGGCCAATTTTCTCGAAGGCATGAACAGCTACCCTCCTAGAAGTTCCAGCTGGCCCTGCAGGGTCCAGGCGACTTCGAAGTGAGTGTGTGACATGAGGATTAATAGAGTTCAAATATTGTAACTTGCTTATTTGCATTAGCATGAGTCCTACCTAGCTACTAGTCCGAAGCGTCCCTGAAAGGGCACGAAACCTGTTTAAGTGCCTGTCTTGTTCAAGCATTCTGTTCTGTGTAACTAAACGTTATGCAAAAATCAAGCACTCTCATTTTACATGTCACTTTTTACTTGACAAACGACAGGAACTATGCCAAGCTATACAAATTAACTGAGCTTCTACCGGCAACAAAATTCACTAAAAGAAGGATTGCTTTGACATTGTTAATTATGAGTAATTTTGGTGACGAGAAATAAAATCCTCTAATTAATCTCAAGCCCTTAACATTTACTTCTAATTAACATTAAAGACTGTTAATAATGGCGACGGATTGCCTTCTGCTCGTGACCTTGCTGCCGATATTCTGCTGGAACGTGAGAGAGGTTACGAGTGTTCTTGTCAAGCATCCATTGTAATTCCCTTGAGAGCGAGCCCATTGAAGTTTTGATTCATGGAGAATACATTCCAAGGTTGACGTCATGCATGTGTTCCAAATCGAGAATGAAGTAAACTGAATTAGTCTCTTTGAAACGCATTCCAAATATAATTATTAAATATAATATGATAACGAAGTTGTTCCAATCCACCAATCTTGAAATTAAAATCTCTAAAACCCAATTACACATGATAACATAAAAAAAAAAAACAAGCTGTGAAGAGAAGTGATAGAGAAATATCATACATATAAGAAATATAAATATTCAAAACGGTATGAAAAATGAGTAGAAGTTGACAAAAGATACTAAAAGATTCATCGTGTTGAAGATTTAAAAGCAAGGCCGAACTAGAAGGTGGTGGTAATCGGAAATTGACCAAGCACTGTCGCTAGCTGTGATATTTATAAATGCTTTCTTGACTAGGGAAATTAATTATTATTGATATTGCCTCGCCAACGTGCTAAACCACTGTTTGAGAATTAGTGGGTTAATCTTTTGACCGATCATGTCATGTAATTAATTGATTTAGGGAAATCTAAACAACTGTTAAATCCAAGTGGGATCTGAATATATTTTTTTAATTTTTCTTAAGTGATATTGTTTTAAAAATAAATAATATGAAATTGTTTTTTTTTTATATATATATATACATACCTTGGGTTAACCCACCGTTTTATATAAAACTCAAGGCTGAGACAGCACCTACTCAAGAGAGGCAAATTACCATCCTACGAAGGAATATGACCACCCCGAGCCTTATTTTAAAACATTTTTTTCCCACCGCCTGGCATCAATATCAACTTATTCATTTTAAAGTCTAGAGTTAAGTGGATGATTTTAATGCATGATCCTGAGGACTGTTCAGTTATTGCTCATTAAATAGCAGGAGGTTAGTTATATCACTCGTATTTTATTTTATTGTGGGTCAGATTTTTTATTTTAAAAAAATTATTTATATATTTTTTAATATATTTTGTAGTTTCAACTTATTGATTTAATTCTTAAATTTATTATTTTTTCAATTAATATAAATATTTAAATTAATCTATATGTATCTTAATTAATTTTATAAACTCTAAAATTAATAAACATATAATTCTCTAATCATTTTAAAATTTGACATTAAAGTTAGGAGTGTACTGTATCTTACGTTGAGATTGTATCATGAGCAATCAATGAGACTGTTTCTCTTTGGGTTTGTGGGGCCCATGATTTTGCTCGTAGAAGAATCCATTAGTTTTGATCCTAACTTGAATATGCTTGGCCCATTAGTCCTTTTCAATGGATGACGGCCCATTAGTCCTTTTCAATGGATGACGGCCCATTAGTCCTTTTCAATGGATGACGGCCCATTAGTCCTTTTCAATGGATGACGGCCCATTGATTTTCTTTATCTGTTTCCTATCTACACACAGGAGCTTCTCGAATTGTTTCCCACTGGTCAACTCAGCCGAATGCTCTTTTTTTTTTTACCAAACCAATTGTTGCACCTACTAGTTTTCTTATTCTTTTCTAGTTTTAATTTTTCAATAAAAAAATAAAAAATATATTCATTTGTTAAAAACAAAATGAATTTTTCAAATACAAAATATATCACAATTACAAGTTTACAACTGTTTTTCATTAAAATAATAATTCAGAATCATAGTTTATAGTACTCATATTACTTTTGGGTTATAATCTAATTTTAGAATATTAATTTTATTTCATTCAAATTAAAAATTAGTTAGCTGAACATAACGTTATATTGTAAGCACTGTTTTCTAAACATGAAAAATAAAAATAAATAAATGTGATAACGTTATATTAAAAATCTATTAAAAAATAAAAAACATAATTTTTTTTGTTAATGGAATATTCATGATTTTTTTAAAAATCTAAATTAAAAAAAAATTAAAGGGTAGAGGCTTGATGTCTAGCCCAATAAACATAAATAGATGTGTACGATGAGTCTGCAAGCTTAGAACCAAGTGGTTGATCCTCTTCTTTTTTTAAGGGGCGAACAACATATAATCCACTCTTTCTTTTTATGAAAAAGAAAGGCACCCGACATATTATCTAAATTTTGATTATCAGAGAGCTGATTGGAAAATTTGATAAGGATTTTCTGGGTTCAAAAATCTATTTTTAACATGTTTTAATTTAAAAATATCTATTAAACATCCTTAACACCTCATTAAATCAATTTCTTAACTCAAAATACCCTTGAATTAATCCTAAAATAAAAAATCAAACTGATAAAAAATTCTCTCTTAATCTTAATTTATTTTTTCAAGCAAAAAAAAAATCTAAAACATTTTAATGGAATTTTTTTTGAATAAAACTAGTTGACATCAAAATCATTTTTTTATCACTAAAATATGACCAACGTAATTAAAATATAAAATATAAAATTTTATATTTTATATTTTAATTACGTTGGTCATATTTTAGTGATAAAAAAATGATTTTGATGTCAACTAGTTTTATTCAAAAAAAATTCCATTAAAATGTTTTAGATTTTTTTTTTGCTTGAAAAAATAAATTAAGATTAAGAGAGAATTTTTTATCAGTTTGATTTTTTATTTTAGGATTAATTCAAGGGTATTTTGAGTTAAGAAATTGATTTAATGAGGTGTTAAGGATGTTTAATAGATATTTTTAAATTAAAACATGTTAAAAATAGATTTTTGAACCCAAAACATCCTTATCAAATTTTCCAATCAGCTCTCTGATAATCAAAATTTAGATAATATGTCGGGGGCCTTTCTTTTTTATAAAAAGAAAGAGTGGAT